ACAACGACGATCGCTAATCACCCAAATCATCATCATCATAATGATGTTGATTGTCAACAAATAACGCAATCGACACCATCATCATCAACGAATAAGCGACAACGAAATTCGCAATCAGAATCATTATTGAGCGGTGGTAAACATGCAAAAAATCACAACATATCATCATCATTTCCAGTACCACCACCATTGCCACTTCAACCGCAACCGCCGCAATCAACAACAACATCATCATATCAGAAAAAATTACAATTACCACAATCAAGATGGGAAACATTTCAACGTATACGGCAAAATCGTCACACAAGACTTGCGGCATTTATGCGTTTAACCAGACGTAAATATGAAGCTTGTTATGAAATGCAATTACAGCAACAACAACAGCAGCAGCAATCATCATATCATCATCAACCGAATCATATTGCAATTCAACAATCGCATCTTACACCTACTGCGTCTATTCATCCGCAGCGTTCACCGAATATTGTTCCATCATCATTGACGCAATCAGCTAGTCATCATTCAATTCCGCAACATTATTCTGCAACTGGCGGTGGATTTATTGGTTCAGAAGCATTAGCATTTGCGGCAAAATCATTAGAATCATCTGCCGCAGCTGCCAAATCATCAATGAATCCTGATTCATTACCACCACCATCATCATCATCATCGACGATAATTTCACATCCGCATCATCATCATCCACATCAAACATCGAATCGCAATTTATTAAATTCACCCGAACAACCTGGATCATTAACACGTTCATCACCGGCTATGGCAGCGGCAAACGGTGGATCCTCATCATCAACGGGAAATTTATCAACAGCAGCTGCTGCTGCTGCAGCCGCATATCAAGCTCATTCATTATTTGCTCATTCAAATCATCCATCAGCCGCAGCAGCAGCCGCTGCTGCATCATCATTTTTACATCATCCATTTTATCCTTATCCACATCCACATCATTCAATAGCAGCTGCATTTCAATCTGCTGCTGTTGCTGCAGGTGCATATCCAGTTGGTTCAGGAACAGCTTCGGCATTTCCAAATGTTGATTCATTTTTTCAACAAACAACAAATTCTTCGACAACAACAACAACAACATCGATGATGAATAATTCACCTGGATCAATATCATCAGTAGCATCATCATCATCAGGTTTGCATCAATCAGCAAACAACCAAAACCAAAACCAAAATAATAGACAACCAAAAATTTGGCGTTCAATCGATACATTGGATAAATTGGAAATGAATAATGATACTTCATCAGCGGTAATCGATCAACAACAACGATCAACATTGATTATTCCAGCAAATAAAAACGACAACAACAATAATGATGATGGAAATATTACGGAAGAAATGGAAAACCATCGTCGATCAAAATCCAATGATGATAATAATGAAGACGAATCTGAACAACAACAACAACTGGCCACCAATGATGGCCATAATCATCATCATAATTCACCAACAAGTTCGATCCATTCAGGTAATAATGATAATCAAAGTGTTGATGGTGAAGAAGATCACCATCAATCCAAACCACAATCCAACAATAGTAATGATAATAATGATGATGTATTAAATTTGATGAAAAAAACAACCGCAAAAAAATTACAAAAATCACTTAGTGATAATGATAATGATGATGATGATAGTGGTGATGATCATCAAATAATAAATTTTTCATCAATAAGCGATAATGATGATAATGGAAAATCAATCAATAATGATAATAAATCGATACGATTAATAATGAAAAAATCAAATAAAATTAATGATTCTGATGATGATGAAGCAGCGGTTGCGGATGTGGATGATGATGATTGTGATGTTGATGTTGTAAATGGTGATCTGCATCATCCGATCAACGATATTCACCATAATCATCAGCCGATGCATCATTCACCAAATAAACATTCAAACAATTTTAATCATCAACATCATCGACGTTTTATTGATCATCAACAACAACATCCACCACAAAAAAGTTTTAAACGTCATTTTGTTGATGTTTATCAACATGAAGAACAGCAGCAACTAATGAAGAAGCGATTTGCAACTGCGACCAATACCGCAGCACAATCAAATAACAAAAAATTATCCGAATCTTTACCATTATCATCATCTTCGTCATCATCATCTTCATCGTCTTCGTCGCCCTCATTATCATCACCATCATCATTATCACCGAATAATGATCATTGATTAAACGACGTTACACTGTACAGTTTTACTTTATAAAATTAGCCCGAATAATCAACATTTTTAAGTTACCTAATTACACATTACTTAATTACACAGAAAATTATTATAATTTAGTTTGTAAAACCTTCGATTTATTAAATTACAAATAAAAACAAGATTGTTTGCTTTTTGTTTCTGTGAAAATATTTGTTCTTTTTTTTGTGCGTGTTAATTTGTCTGAAAGAAATAAAGAATCTTTTTCCTTTCAAAATGATTGATTGATTGATTTGCTTTGTTTTTTTTTTTTTTTTTGGTTCTGTGAATTCCGGAACAAATGTGACTAATGTTCTTGGGAAATTGAAAAAATCTAGCCAACGAAAAATTCATTTTGTTCAAATTATTTAGTCTGTCAATCCATCGATTGATTGATTGATTGATCGAATATCATGGGATTCGGGAAAAATTTTCCAAACACAAAAAAAATCAAGGTAAACATTCAATCCGGTCAGAAAGGTCAAATAGAATAACCACAACACACTGTTGTTGAGTTAATTTTATTTTTTGCCTACGAGTAATTCCATATGGAAAATATATTTTCGAAGATAAGATTATTATTTTTGTTGAAAATTTTCTTAAAGTTTTTTTGCTAATCAGTCTCTTTTATAAAGTAAGTTTTGTTTTTCAATGCCGCAACTGAAAAATTCAATACATTTTTTTTCAATAGAAAAAAAGGTAAAAAAAATCATTCGATATTGGTAATACCTGCAAGGTGGAAAAAAGATTCATTTTTTAATCCTTTGAATACCCTCATCATTTGGTCATTCTATTGTTTTTTTTTCAATTTTTGGAAAGAATAATTCTCAATTTCAACAACAACAACAACAAAATTCATAATCTTCTTCTTCATTTCTAAAAATTTTTCCAAAAATGATAATCTCCTGCTGCTGTTTGCCAATATCATCACAATAAAGTAATTTTACCGACAAACTTTAATAGATAATAGAGAATTTGATTTAGTCACTTTACTTCGAACTAATAAGTTTTGTTAAGATATTTTTCTTTCTTTCAATATTATTATTGACTTTTGGTGGTGATTGAATCTCAAAAATCAATTTTGAAGTGATCAGAATTTAGCTTTTGGCTTTTGGGCAAATGAAAAAAAAAGATTGAAAATTTTATTAAGTATTCAAATCGGAAGTTTAAGTCAACCAAAATTGTCAATTTAGTTTGTTTGTTTGTTGTTTACACCAAGCCAAAAACAACCAAATGATTATCATCAGGATCCAAAACTGGAATAAAATCATAAAAAGGCCATAAAGTTTGTTTGTTTGTTTTTGCTTTTCGATTGAAATCAATCAATCGAATCAGTTCAATTTGAAGATGGTAAAACTGAAAAAACGCCTATACTTTTGATTGATTTTTGAAGCCAATTTTTAAATGAATGAATGAATGACGCGTGGCATATACATGGTTAAAACGTTTTTTTTTTTGGACCCGGAGAATGATTCCATTTAACCAAACCAAAAACTAAACTAAACAACCGACTATGGTCTCTTGAAAATTTCCTAGGGTTAAACAAATGATGATTGAGATAGAGAATCTGAGGGGGGAGTATTGGGGATTTTATTTATTTATTTTTGTTTTCGGCAAAAAAGCCAAAAACAAACGAAAAAAAAACAGAAAAATGTTCAAAAAAAAAGTCATAAAGTTTTCGTTTTTTCCTATAGGGTTATTATAGCTGCTGCTGGTTTTTTTCTGTTTATTTATTTTTGAATTTTTTGATCATCATACGCGTTTGACGTTACTTAAAAGCTTAAAATTTTTCAAAAAAATCAAGCTACTTAAGTTATTCTCAAATGAACTAAGGGTTTTCAGTTTTGGCCATTTATTTTTCCTCGATGATGATGATGATGATAATGGATTTTCGGATATTTTTTTCCATTCAAGTGGAAATTGATCCAAATCGAGTTGAAATAGCCAGAAAGAAAAGGCAAACAAAAAGCCGAAAGGGTTAACTCTTTTGAAACTCTGAAACCACCACCACCACCATCATTCGAGAAAGCCATAGGGTAAATCTTATCCAAAAAAAAAGTTTGGATTTTGAAAACGAATAAACACTTACTTACACACACACGAGCAAAAGTCAAACAAGTCAAAATTCAATCAACCAAGTAGTGAAAAGGGTAAATATTTCAAGAG